CCCGGGCTGGATTCGAACCTGCCACCTTAGGTGTATGTGGCTGGCGCCGTAGCCACTTGAGCCACACGTGTGAGCCTCTTTTAGCATTTTGACATATTTTCTACCCACTTTAAAAAAGTTTTCATTTAGTAAAGCCAGTATTCATTAATAACCTGCTGTCAGCTAGGCACTGAGATTATTTGAAGAAGAGCTTATCCCTGTTCTCAGAGATCTCACAGAATTATAATAAGGTATACAAGTTACGCCAGGGTTGGTATGGGGTGCACCAAGGAAGGTTCTTAATTTGTCTGGAGAGAAAGGGACAAGGAAAACTCTGTTAGGAAGCTAAGCTCTGAAGGATAAGTAGAAGGTGGCTGAGAAGGGTAAGATGTTAAGTGGACAAGGTGAAGGTTGTAAGGTCAGAGGAGTATGAACCTTGTGGGAACTGAAAATAGTTCAGGCTGAGGGGGCGCTGACCACAGGGGCAGGTGTTGGGGTGGTGGCCGTGAGAGGTGAGGGTGGACGGTCAGGGTAAGTCCTCTGGCCTCATAGGCTAGGTCCAGGTGTTTAGGCTCTGTCCCAGGAGCAGTGGGTAGCCATTGAAAGCTTTTAAGCGTGGGGTGAAGCATTTAAATTTTGCTTTTTGAAATGATCACGCTGAAATGTGCAATAACTCAGGTGAGAGGCAAGCGTGGCTGGAGCTGGGGTAGCGACAATGTAGAGGGAGAGACCTGGTGGCTTCGAGAGGAATCAGGAAGTAGTGGAAAAAAGAGCAAGAGAGCTTGTTCAAGGTTCAGACTTGGATTTCCAGTCAGGAGACTGGCGACCATTCTGTCCACTGGGATGGAAACACTGGGGAGGGTGGTGGTATGGTGCTATGGGACATCCAAGTCAGCAGTGGGATATCCAGTGTGTGGTGGTTTGGAGTTCAGGAGTGAGGTCTGGGCTAGAGACCTAGGTTTGACGTCCTTAGGCTAGAAAGAATTGAAATTGGGGGGGTTAGTGAGATAGCAGTGGGGCTAGTGTGTACATTTCACTGCATGCAGTGAAGGGCGAGGACGTGAAGAATAACAGCAGGTGCAGTGCAGGGGTTCTGCTCCCGGTGAGAAGCAGGCACGTGGGCCTGCAGTGCCCTTAGTCAGTCTCAGTCCCCAGTGTCTCTTGGAGCATGAGTCTTTTGCTGAAGAGTTTGCTGCAGTCAGTTTTGACTTAGGTGTAATTTTCATTTTATGTCCTGACTAGCCCCAAACTGCCAGCAAGACCAAAGATCACATGGCTTGCAGTAGTGGGAGTATTGATGTCATGGGGTTGTGGGCTCCAGAGATTAGGTAAGGTCTTGGTCTCAGACAAGAAAAGGGACTCTTGTTCCCTTGTTATAGGAGGACAGGGTGAGCGCAGATGGAGACAGAGACCTGTGGTTAGAATATATCAGGATATTTGACTGCGGGTAAGTGAAACCTGGCCTCAAATTGGATTAAATGTTCATAAAATGTATGCTACTACCTAGAAACCTACAGAAGGAAGGCTGTGGACACAGCATGATCAGCACTTCAGTGATGTCATGGGGACCCAGAGACTTGAATTTTCTTCTAAGGCCTGGTCTCTTTGTGATCATTAGATCTCCTTACTAATGTAGCCCACTTGTCCAGGGCTGTTGGGCTGTACATGCAGCAGGAGAGACCAAGAGAAAAACTCTTTCAACCTAGAGTATAAATCCTTTCTTACTGAGTGGTTCAGTCTGGTCAGGCCACTATTAGTGACAGTTGTGGGGTAATTCTGTGTCCTAATGGGCTTTAGGTGGAACCAGGATTCCCACATCACAGCCAAACAACGGTCCAAGTCCCTTAAGGTATGTGTCTATGGGAAGGTGGGGAGGCCTGCCCCAAACTGAGATTCGTCAGGAAGGACGGAGAGGAAAAAGGGAAGTCGAGACAGTGGCTGCGGCCAGTCTTCCAGCCTGCCTATGTCTAAGAGAATTAGGGTGATTGCATAAGTAATTCTGTTTTTAAAAAATCTTCTGAGTATTTTTTCAGCTTATTAAATATTCTTTAAAAATGATTTTAATGGTTCTATGATATTCTATCTTATTTAACAGACCCTTACAGTATTTTCTGTTTGGTACAGTTCTAAGTACCTTACAGATATTAATTGATTTAATTTGCTTAATAATAACCCTGTATGCTACTGCTATTCCCAATTGAAGATGAGAAACTAGAGGTTCAGAAAAGTTAAATAATGTGTCTGAGATCACACAGTGTGTAGAATCAGACAGAATTCACACACAGGCAGTGTCCCTAACTGCTGGTCTGTGCTGTTAATGTGATAGTTTCCAGCACTCCTCTTACTCTGTGGACTTAGGTAGCATCTACTTTTTTCACAGCATAAATATGCTCCAGTGGGTATCCTGGTCCATAAGTGTGGGGGGGGACCACTGGGTCACTGTGACTGCTGTGACGGCTCTGGCTGTGTGTGGCTCAGCTGCTCTCCACACAGCAGTGCCAGCTCACACTCCTCGGTGCAGGCTTCTCAGGAACAGTGGGCTGCCCGGTGTAGCAAGGGCAGGCTGCGGTAGATGTGAAGGCTGACATCCTGGCATTCCTCCATCCCCTGGGAACCACGTCGCCTGGGCCATGCCCGCCTTCTGCGATCCCATACAGTGGGACATTTCTATCCTGCTTGCTTACTGGGGCTGTGAAGATTGAAATTCTGTGGTTTGAAAACTCTTGGTAAACTGTAAAGCTTCAAACAAATACATGATACTGCTGTGTTCACTTACATTAAGATCCACTGTCTAATGACTTCACTAATCTGGACTAGAAGGAGAAAGAAAAGTATTTTTGTTAAATAATATTTGATTTTCTTTTATATTACTATAGATGTTTTAGTGTTTTCCCTTAATACTTACATCCACTAATTGATGAATAGGATCGTGGAAATTTCATTTACTGGATTTTAACCTCGATAGATTCTTTTTAAAAGAAATACCAGTAAATTTCCATAGTTGGCATTTTCTTGTTCAAACCATTACCTTTCTTTGGTGCGAGGGGATTGTTTGTGGCTGTTGATCACTGTGTGCGCTTTCATGGTTGTGTTTTCTTCTTGGACATTTGGCTGCAGGTACGAGGGGTTGGGTCCAACTATAATTGTCTGTCCAACGACAGTGATGCACCAGTGGGTGAAAGAATTTCACACGTGGTGGCCCCCGTTCAGAGTGGCAATCCTGCATGAAACCGGTTCCTATACTCACAAAAAGGTAACATTATAGTATTTCAGTACCTTTTTGTTTTGTTTTAAAGTCCATTTTACATATTTGGTTTTCCTTTGATCTGTGTATTTTCTCAAATGTGAGTTCCTGCTTCTTTCTTGCATTTATTTTATTATTATTGACTTTGGAGCACTCTGTACTTTCAAAATAATGATGAATATAGGTTTTATATACTTCTAATATACTAATAATCTGAGGGGGTGTTGTGACATGTTTGTTGCCAGTGAAATACAACTGGGCACAGACAGTACCCCAAGCCTGAAGTGTGAGTGGGATCGTAAATCAGGTAGCTTTTGGAACAATAACCTAGCGACTTTGGGCTCTCACAGCAGTAGTTTTAGGAAGATGGCTATAAAAAGTAATGTAATAACTCTTAATTGGTAAGTGCATTTGTTAATATGCATTTAAAATGTTTATGATGACTGACAGAAACAGTCTGCCATTTTGAGAATTTTATAAGTATTGTTTTGGTCCCTGAATCCTTGATTATCATTTACTGAAAGTTTTATTTCTTCATTTGCTTGTAGGTTTATTAATGGTTACATTATAAAAATGGGGCTTCTGTGGGTAGCATAGATAAGTTATATTCTGCTTTTTTTCCTTATCTGTCTTACCCGTTAGACAGTGAGCTTAGTAGAGTATGGACTGTATCTATTTTTGTCTCCCCAGTATGCCATAAGCATTTGTTGAACAAACAGCAATTGCATGGTTTCACTGTAGGTTTGCAGGCTACATTATTGAAGTAGCAGTTTGTTAGGAGTTGATTCTGTCTCTCCTGAGTCTTTTGAGCTCTTGAGTTGGCTCTCCTGCACCAGGAAAGCACTGCCAGCTGCAAGGGCTGTGGAGTGTCCACCTGGCTGAGACAGGTGCACAGGAGCCACAGAACTCCAGGGTCTCCATGAGCTTTCCCATGCCCTTTTCCTTCAAATTCTTACGATTTTCTGGGATTGTAGGTAAGTAGAACTGCTTATGGAACTGAATCAGGGATATCTGTGATTTGGTAGCTCAAGTAAGGTGAGATGGAGCCGTGCTTATATTATTATTATAGTTGTTATTGTTAAAAACAACTAACTTTGCCGAGAATTGTAAATGATAAGTGAAGACAGACTGAGTTAAATGATAATTAATGAAGTAGAGTAAATGCTGTGATTTTTTAAAAAAGATTTTTAGCAGTAAAAATAACAGTATGGATTGTTTTTCTAGCCAGACTCTAAATTGTAACTATCCTGTCTTCACCCTTATTAAACATTGGTGATTTCCTCTTTTCATTTTCATTACCATTATAGACATCTCTTAATGTTTTGTGTTGCAATATCCTGTAACAAGATTTATTAGTTGACATTTGTCTTGTGAAGGGGAATTTCTGTCATATGTTCTTTATCCTTTTATTTTCTTCTGGGGTAGTGAAGTGTATGTGTGTCACACTTTCACCTGGATTGTGGGTTACCTGTGGTCCCTTTGCTTTTACAACCTAAAGAACTACCTTCATGTAAACCAGATACATTAATTCATTCATGGAAATAGAATTGACAGTGAACTTACTGGTAAAACTTGCTTCCTTAACTGCGTTAGGGGGCAAAACCTGAAAGAAGAGATCTTTCTCTGTGGGTTACAGTGAGTGGCTCTGTCTTCTGAGGTTGCTCTGCATGTACAGAACATATGCATCACACGGTTGATTCTAACTTTCAGTGCTTTACAGTTTACAAATGACTTTAACTTGAAGTCTCTTATTTAATTTTTGAGGAAAAGCAGCATTAAAGTTTCCTTCTATTTTCACTCAGATGCTTAACTTTCTACTATTTCCCATCATAAAGTATCCCGTCTCTCAAGATGCTAGCAGTTATGCTAAAGATAGAAAAGATATACTTTTATATCTGTCAAACCGTTCTTGACTTAAAACACAGTTTATTTTTGTTAATGTTAATATCAATTTGTTATTTGATAAGTACTAACACATTTAGGATATAATGACACATTTAGAATGTATTAGTAGTTCTTTCGTATGGGCTTTGTTAGTGACATTTTAAAGATCACAACTTTGACCTCTGGATTCAGGCACCCAACTTGTATGTGATTCTTCTGCTGCTTCCTTTCCTCTCTGTGTATACGGATTTTGTCACCATCTAAATGTGTGTTAGATTGTAATAGAGTCTGTATTTCTTACTTAGATTTCCAGTATTCTGTCGGTAATGCTAGTTTGTCTTCTAACTCAGCATCTAATGCCTGACTTCCTTTCCTTCCTTATCAGCTAAGATTTCTGTGCCCGCTAGCTGTCTCAATTTAACAGTGGCACTCTGACATAGGAATGAATATTCAGTACTAGATAAAATAGGGAAGAGAAGAGAATTTCTCTTTAGAAATATTTTTTAAAGCAATAATGCCAGAATTGCTTAATATTCAAATAGATTATTTTCCAAATACTTTGTTGTAGCTGGTATGGCATAAAATTTTAAAAATGTTTTGATTAGAAAGCAGATATCAAATAATCAAATGACTTCTGCATTGAGTGCATCTATCTTTCTTCCCCAAATTGCCTTGTATAAAAAAATCTATATATCTGAGTCTGGGCACAGTGGCTCATGCCTATAATCCTAGCACTCTGGGAGGCCGAGGCGGATGGATTGCTTGAGCTCAGGAGTTCGAGACCAGCCTAAGCAAGAGCAAAACGCCATCTCAAAAAATCAGCCAGGCTTTGTGGTAGGTGCCTGTAGTCCCAGCTACTTGGGAGGGTAAGGCAAGAGGATTACTTGAGCCCATGAGTTTGAGGTTGCTGTGAGCCATGATGTCATAGCACTTTACCAAGGGTGACAAAGTGAGACTCTGTCTCAAAAAAAAAAAGTGTATGAATATGTGTATATTTAAATATATATAAATATTTATATATTTAACTATCTATATAAATATATATATATATTTATAGATACATCTCTCTCTCTCTCTGATAGTTTCAACCAAGTCATCAAATCTTACAAAGAAATTTTCAGGCTTCTGAATGCCCTTTGATCGTTAGTTGAAATCTCATTTAATAGGACTCCAAGTTTTCCTTTTCTATTATATTTTATTATCCCCCTTTTCTAACACAGAAAATTTTTATATGAGTTGATTAGTATTTATTTGTTAAACAGCTATAAACACCATATTCTAAGTGTTTAATGTTGTTAGGGTTGCAAAAAAATGGATATTATGTTTTAAACTAACCTTGACAACTAATTTTTTTTTTTTTAGAGACAGTTTACTTTGTCGCCCTCGGTAGAATGCCGTGGCATCGCAGCTCACAGCAACCTCCAGCTCTTGGGCTTAGGCGATTCTCTTGCCTTAGCCTCCCAAGTAGCTGGGACTACAGGTGCCTTCCATAACGTCCGGCTATTTTTTGTTGCAGTTTGGCTGGGGCTGGGTTTGAACCCCCCACTCTTGGTATATAGGCCTGGCACCCTACTCACTGAGCCACAGGTACCTCCTGACAACTATTTTCTTGAGGAAAGAAAATTAAATATTTGAAGAGATAATGAAAGAAAGGCATTCTTGTGATACTTATCCTGTAACTCACATCTTTAGCACTGTGTTTTAACGTTTATTTAAAAATTAAGGATCGTTTTTTCGATTTGGAAGATGTATAATGAGAAATTGCTTATATCCTGAAAGAGTTGTCACTTTATCTCTGTCACCATTTTCTGCTATGTAGGATCTAGTAATTCTGTAATATGATAGGTAATTTAAAGAGTTTTGTCTCATTGGTCCGTTCACACTATTTAGAGGCATAAGAGTGGGAAAAGCAACAATAGCATATAGTTTAAGTGCATAGGTTTTGTGCTTACCAGACCAGGGTTTGAATCTTTGATCTGCCATGTTATAACTTAGCTTCTCTGACCTGGTTTGATGAGAGTATTGTGAAATGAGTATTGTTTGGGTAGTTTTGTGAGAGTATTTACTGGGCTAACATGTATGCATGAAGAGTTTAACGTGGTCCCTCGTATTTAATATTTACTTAGGCAGTTCTTACTGTAGGGAACAAAGAATATTGTAGGCCTCTTCGTCTATGTAGTTGCAGAAAGAAAAGATGCTGAAGGGAGGTGTTGCTGGTTGATTCAGGGTGTACTTAGGTAGAGGATACACACCTAAAGTGTTCATGATCATTCAGTGTCTGGGCCTTTTTTTCTTTTTTTGAGACAGGAGCCTCAAGCTGTCCCCCTGGGTAGAGTACCATGGCATCTCAGCTCACAGCAGCCTCCAACTCCTGGGCTCAAGCGAGTCTCCTGCCTTTGCCTCCCAAGTAGCTGGGACCACAGGTGCCTGCCACAACGCCCGGCTATTTTTTGGCTGCAGCTGTCATTGTTGTTTGGTGGGCCCAGGCTGGATTCAAACCCGCCACCTTGGGTGTACGTGGCTGGTGCCTTAGCCACTTGAGCCATAGGCGCCGAGCCTGGGCCTTTTTTTCTCATGTCAAGGTACATTTTGCTACAAATGAAGACAGTGAAATAGAATATTAACATTCATTTGGAGAAGCTCAGAGTGTGTTTAATAAACAAAAAGCAAAAATAACACAAAAACATGGCCACCTGATGAAACTGCCATCGTGGTCTTTGAAAAGTCCTGTTATCTGAAACACGATATCAAAAAGACATGGCTTTTTTAAAAAGCTAGAGGGGAGTAAAAAACACATCCAATAAAAATAAAAGAGACTACATTGTCCCTCAAGCATCCTAAGTATTTCAGACCTATTCCGGGTACATGAATTATAATGCAAAGTGATATAATTCCTATTAACTTTCTAGTCAGTGAATATACCCAATACAAGAAATGATAGATGCTGGGCTTGTTCTGTGAGGTATATTGTAAAATTATGTCACCAGAGCCCTTTTTTCTTCATTGTCAGCACAAATCCTTGTTTATTAAAGATTTAGCTTGAAGGAAATTTTAATTAATTACAGGTGCAGTAAATCCTGCCTGGGAAGCTGCGTGCTGTGTTTCTCGTGAATGGCCTTCATGTGCCTGTGCTTCACTCGGCTCTCCCCGCTGCCTGACAGTGTGATTTATGGCTGTTGTTTTCTACCAGTCCACTGTTTGCCCTCTAGGAGGGATTGGTCTCCTGAGCCTCCATAATAACAGCAGCACTTTCACAGACATCTTTTAATGACAACAGCACTACATTCAGTAAGTCAGGCTAATTGCAGATGTACCCTATTAATTGCAAAAACTAGAAGAGGTTACATATTTTACAAGCTTTTAATTTGAAACCGCCCGAGATGATTTGTCTTAAGTGTTTGGATAGAGATGTCTATAATATTCACCAATTCACCGTTATTGAAACTTCAGTCTAGACAGTTACAGAATTCTGAGATTGAATCAGGTGAGAACAAGTGTTGTTAATGTGTTTTTACCCAGTGACTGTTAAGTGGAGATAATATTTTCAATGGAGACATTTTGAACAATTGCTTGCTCTTTTTATAAAAGAATCATCTTAATTCTTGTTAATTGTTATACATCTTTCTGAACACAGTAGAAATTATGTATTTCTGTAGCTAACATTACAGAATTTTCCAAATAAACTTTAATCCTTAAACTAGCAAAAACAGCTACTCATGGTTCTAGTAGTATATATTCAAGAAGTTTGGTGCATCACTGATTTAATGACACTGAGTAATGTCCAGAATTTGGGGTTGTGTTCTTTGGAATGGCTAAGGCAAGTGTTTGCATCCAAGAGTTAGGAGTTCTGGGGTCCATGGGCAAATGGACCCATGTTTGCATTTGGCTCTAATACAGTGGAGATTTTAAAAATGTGGGTGGTCACTGAACTTCCCTATTTCCAGCCCCGAACACTGCAGTTGTTTTCCCTTTCTCTCTGGGTGCACACGTAGCTCATGCCTGGAGTGGACTCAGGTGTGGAGTGTCCCCTGTCTCAGTTTGCTGTCCTGTCATGCTGCCATGGGCTCCTGGAGAGGAGCATAGCAGCAGAGTCAGGGTACCTTCCTGCCCAGAGCCTCAGTAGAAAATTTAGGTCTAGAGAAACTAAGGAAATCAACTGTGGCTGCGTAAGGTGTCAGAGGTAGAAAGTGCTGCTTTGGGCAGACTGCTTTTTTTCACTGGGCACCAGCAGCTGAGGTGGGAATGGTGGCGAAGGAGTGGAAGTCTAGTCAAAGGAAAGTGAGGTGGAGACAGGCCCAGAGAGAACCTGTACATGTGTTTGTAACACTGTGCACCCTGAGGTGTTCACTGCCTTGTTCCCCTAAGGTCACACATCGGGAACTGGTTACATGAGATGTGAATGTGGAATTGTGCTATCACTGAAATTAGTCACTGGGAGGATGGAAGAAGAGTAGCCATAATAATACAGCACTCACCTGTTGAATGGATAATAGGTCTCAGGCAGTGTGGTTATTTTTTATAGCAGTTTATTAAATCTTTGAATGTCAAATGTATTATGACATATGAGAAGACAGTTTCTCCCTATTTACTTTGCTCCTTTATTGTACCCTTTTTTACTCTGTTGAATTAAAAATATTTTAATCCTAGTTCTTTAAGATGATATTGATGAAATTATCATTTTGAAGATGTTGAATTTTATAAAATTTGTATAAGGTAATTATGATTGCATGAATTATGTTATTAGGCTTCCTAATATTTAGCTATTTGGTGAGGAACCTGCAGCTCTCTGATTTCAAGATTATTCTTGTTAAGCACCCAAGAAGACAAGAAAAGATACTGCTTTTCTTTTCTTTTTTTTTTTTCCTAAGACAGTCTCAAGCTGTCAGCCTGAGTAGAGTGCTGTGGTGTCACAGCTCACAGCAACCTCAAACTCTTGGGCTTAAGCCATTCTCTTACCTCAGCCTCCCAAATAGCTGCTGGGACTACAGGTACTGACCACAATGCCTGGCTTTTTTTTTTTTTTGCAGTTGTCATTGTTTTAGGTGGCCTTGGCTGGGTTCAAACCTGCCAGCCTTTGTGTATGTGGCTGTGCCCTACACACTGAGCTACAGGCACCACCTGCTTTTCTTTAATAAAAGGATTTGTTTTGTAAAATTTAGATTCAGTCAAAAGATCACACTCAAGGATCCAGGAGGCTACAAGTTCCCCACACCATTAGATTTTTAACAGTTATTTGGAATGCAGCTTTTCCCTGTATTTTGGAACAATTTAAATAAGAGTTTATTCTTACTTTACTCATGAAACCCTTTGGGTTGGATAGAGTTTTGGTGAAAAGAACATAAGATCTTTACAAGTTCTTCATTACTGGTTTATTCATTTGGTCTAATTTTTCTTGGGTTCATTTTGGTAATGTGGTTTGTTTGTTTGTTTGTTTTTTGTGGCTGGGGCTGGATCTGAACCTGCCACCTCCAGCATATGGGGCCAGTGCCCTACGCCTCTGAGCCACAGGTGCTGCCCGGTAATGTGTTTTTTTAACAGATTTTTAAGCATGCAGTATTTCACAGTCTTGTATTCTCTACACCTGTGATTGTGTTCCTTTGATGTTTCTAATGTGCATCTGAGTCTGTTCTTTGGGCTGACTTTTCAGAGGTTTGTTTGGTTTTCTTCAAAAGCCCCTTTTCCCCCTTTATCAGCTCCACCAAATTTTTCTCAAAGATTCACTAGTTTTTGTTTTTATCATATTCTCCTCATTTTCATTTTTTAGCAGGTTAAGTTGACTGCTCCTTTTGATTCCAGCCTCTCTTAAGAAAGTATCTGTAGGGCAGTGCCTGTGGCTCAGTGGGTGGGGCGCCAGCCCCATATACCGGGGGTGGTGGGTTCAAACCCAGCCCCGGCCAAACTGCAACAAAAAAATAGCCAGGCGTTGTGGCAGGCACCTGCAGTCCCAGCTACTCAGGAGGCTGAGGCAAGAGAAATCACCTAAGCTCAGGAGATCGAGGTTGCTGTGAGCTGTGATGCTGCCACGGCACTCTACCGAGGGCGACAAAGTAAGACTCTGTCTCTACCAAAAAAAAAAAAAAAAAAAAGAGAGAGAGAAAATATTTGTAAAGAATCAGTATTTTTGTGTGGCCTAAAGCCCTGCTGATAGCTGTTAAAGGAACTCTGATGCTGATACTCAAATCCTTTGTCATCCCAATGTTTAAACTGGTCATTCTCTTTAATCTTTTTCTCTGAGGGAGGCTGTACTCAGGTCTCCAGGTGGGCTGTGGGTGTGTCACTGTCCGGCAGCTCCCAGGGCTTTGCTTTGGTGTTTGTTGCAGTGCTTTGCGGAAGGCTTTTCTTAGTGTATTGTCCCCCTTAAATATGAAATATCCCTTTTCTTTCTACTCATTTTTTTGGATCTCATATTTAATATTGCTACTCCTGTCCCTTTTTGGTTTATCTTTGATTATTTCCATATTTCATTGTTAGTGACCCATAGCATATGGTAACTGACCCCTGATGTGTTTAGTCTGAAGCGTGCTGTCTTATCTTCTCGTATTCTATTTTCTGTTCTTGCGATTTTTGCTACTTTCTATTACTTTTTCCCTCATAGTGGTTTGATAGTTCTATACACTGCTTCATTTTTAATATTTATGTGAAAGTAGCAACTATTAATCAGTAATAGGCTTGAACTTTTGACAAGTGTATCTTAATGTATTTTTCTCTTATGGTTGAGAATTAAACATTCTCTACGATAGGGTAGGATTTTTAGTCCACTTTTCTTTTTTATTTTTCCCCTAATTTCAACTCCAGGTTTTATTACCCAGGAATTACAGTAACTCTGATTACTTAGGTTACTTAAAAATATATGCCTTTTAATATTTTAGATCATTTCTTAGCAGTTTCATTTATATTTTAAAGTGTTTAATATTTAGACTTAATTATTATGTTTTAATGATTTAACAAATGGTATGTGTATTGCATACAATTTTTCCATTTGTTTATTTATTGTTTTTTGAGATAAGGTCTCAGACATCTGAGAGGTAAGATGTGCCTAAGGATATATGTCTGTTTTCAGTGTTCCTGTCTGACATTTTGCTCTGTGGACTCAAGTCTTTCCTTAGTTTATGGGGTTTCTTTTTACTATCATTTGAAGAACCATTGTTTTACAGTCTTTCCACTCTTTTCTCGCAGTTCATGTCATACAATGTTAGAGCTCCTAGATTTGTCTTCCATGTTGTCTCCTTGAATTTTCTCGCTTTTGTTTTAAAGTAATATGTCCTTTTTCGTCCACCTTGTTTTAAGTTTAACAAGGATGGACACACAGAATGTTTTGGAAAAATACTAGGTCAGTATTTATCTCACTTTTTTTGAGACCCCTGCCAATAGTGGCTATATTAGTGTTTACTACCGTTCAGGTTAATGACATGTAAAGTATACTTCCAGACCTGCTAATGTATAATTAGGGTTGTTATGTATTATGTTTGTGGTTTTAGATAATGTCATGATTGACAAGGTATCATTTTAAGTCATGCCCATTTAATGTCACTTATTGAAATTTGTCTTTACCCATTTTACTATGGTTTTAGGAGAAACTAATTCGAGATATTGCTCACTGTCACGGGATTTTGATCACTTCTTACTCCTACATTCGACTGATGCAGGATGACATTAGTAGGTATGACTGGCACTATGTGATCTTGGATGAAGGACACAAAATTCGAAATCCAAATGCTGCTGTTACCCTTGCTTGCAAACAGGTATGGCCTCTCACAACAAGGGGGATTTCCAGGTGGAGAATGATATTTAATTCAGAATAAACTACTTGCTTTTAGTAACACATTTATTAAATCTTTCCTGTGCCTTTGCATAGAGAATTAAAAATAGGTATTTTGCCTTAATGCAGAAAATTTTTTATTCTTGCCCATAATTATGTTTTTTAACTGTGATTATTCATATTACTTAATGTCTTTTTTAGGCATCAGTTGCTAAAATGTAACCAAATCCAACTATAATCCATAGTGTTCAGCTTAAACAATAAAAAAACTTTTTCCCCATTTTTTTCTTCTAAATGTAATTGAAGAATTGTATCTGCATAAGGTATCTGTGTTTTGGAGGAGACCAAACTGATGCAGGAACTGAAACAATGAATAAATGTGTTAAGTAGCAGTATTGCATGGGAGTGCTTTGGGGTAGGGATGGTGTCCTCTGTTAGAAGGTGAATTTAACAAAAGTGGTATTTTCTTTCCTCAAATAGTTCCGCACTCCTCATCGGATCATCTTGTCTGGCTCACCCATGCAAAATAACCTCCGTGAGCTCTGGTCGCTTTTTGACTTTGTCTTCCCTGGAAAGTTAGGCACGTTGCCCGTGTTTATGGAGCAGTTCTCTGTCCCCATCACCATGGGGGGGTATGCAAATGCTTCCCCAGTACAGGTAGTGTATCGGGCAGATAATACTTTTGGCATTTTAATATTTTAGATGTTCTTATTAAATAATACATATTTTAAGCCAAGTCCTTCAGAGTGTAAGGAAAATGTCCAGGCTTATAAGTTGGTATCTGGTAAAAAGCACAAAGTTATTTTTAGATCATTTTTTTTTTAACCTAAAAAATCATGAGATATATTCACTTAGAGGAAAGTCCTTGAATAATAAATTTTCCTTGTGTAATAGAAATTAAACAGTTTGGTGTTGGTTGTTCTTCAGATGTTTAATAAATAAAAATAAATGTCATGTGTGGTTGGAATAGTAGTCAGAATATGAAATAAGTGATCAGTTGTGGGCAGCATATAAATCAGTTCTGCAAATTGGGGTAGTGCACTTTTAAAGTTTTGTGTGGTTTCTATAAGGTCAAAGTTTATTTCTCTTGATGGCATTTGGGATAGGTATGGTGAGACTTAGGATACCACCCTCCCTTGCCAACTCCCTCAGTCTTTTTGGGCTTTTTTTGATATGGGGTAGCGGGGAGTCTCACATTGTAATCTAGTTGGGAGTACAGTGGTGTCACCATAACTCACAGCAACCTTAAGCTCCTGGGCTGTGTGGATCTTCCTGCTTTAGCCTCCCAAGTAGCTGGGACTATGGGTGTGTGCTACCATGCCCAGCTAATTTTTTATGGTTTTTTTTTTTTTTTTTTTTTTGTAGGGACAGGGCCTTGCTCTTGCGCAGGCTGATCTTGAACTTCTAGCCTCAAGAAATCCTTCTTCCCTGGCCTTCCAAAGTGCCAGGATTACAGATGTGAGCCACTATGTCCCACTAGGTAGTATATCTTATAAAGTTGTGGAGAAACTTAGAAAAGGGGATAGCAGGAATTGTTCAGGGAAAAATTAATGAGAAATGTGTCCTTAACCCTGATTCTGGGAAAATGGGCAATGAGAGTAAGGACATTCTAGATTAGGACAACAGAGCGAATGTGGCCACCTTATGTGTCTGCGAACAGTGAAGAGACCCACTTGATTGGCCTACAGATGCTGTGGGCGTGGTGAGCTTGCTGCCACTGGAATGGGGTTGTCACAGGCAGGAAGATGAGGAGGTGAAGCCAGCCCAAGGGCAGTGTGTGGCCTGTGTGGCAGGCTCCAGCCTCACTGGAGGCGGGGTGTGTGTATAGCCCTCAGGCAGACCTGCACCTGCCAGCCCTTGGCTGAGCCAGGGATCAAGCCTTCCACCAAAAGAGACAGACTCATGTTTTAGAATATTAGAAAAAGAATTTTAGACCTTTAAAATAACAAGATCGTCATAAACAATTTTAACATCTTTTACATTTTGAGATTGAATGATTTTTAATTAACTTTTGTGAAGACTCTCTCTTCTGAATCCCTTAAGTTATACTGTTCATTTTTTAAACAGTTCTTTATTTTTAGATAATTTCAAACTTAATGGAAAGTTGTAGGAGTTGTGAAAGAACTCCCATGTACACTTCACCCAGATTTACTGATTGTTAATATTTTGCTAACATTTTGCCGCATTGGTGTTACCATTCCTTCCCTCCCTCTCCCCTACTTCCCTGTATACATATGCACAAATCAATGCTGTTTTTCTGAATCGTCTGAGAGTAAGTTGCAGATATGATTGGGTTGGAAGATTGGATTTCCTCCAGATTCTTCAGTGTCTCTTCTTAAGAACAAGGACAACTCTGACACACCCATAGTTTAAACATCAAAATTATAAGAAAATTTAACATTGATGTATTTCTTTAATCTGTAGTCATATTTTTCCAGTGATTCTAGTTTCCATGTCTCCCTAGCCTCCTTTAATCTGGAACAGCAGGTCTTCTAAGCTTGCTTTGGCCTTTCACTACCATGACACTATGAAGACTATAGGCTTGCTAGTCTGTGCAGTGTACCTCAGTGTAGGTTGTTGTACATTCTTCAGGGTTGGATTTGGGTTTTGCATCCTTGGCAGGAATATCAAAGAAGTGGTCTTTCTTTCCCAGTGCACAGTTTCTGGAGGCACATGCTGTGGATTTGTCCTGTTATTAGTGCTGTTAACTCTGATTACTCAGGTAAGGTAGTGTTGGCCAGATTTCAGAGCTCTGTGAAGTCACCACTTCTCTGGAATTAATAAGTTGTTTGTGGAGAATTGCTTTGAGAACATGTTATTATGGTCTGTTTCTTCCTTAAAGTTCTTGTTTCAGGAGTTTGAGTTCTTCTCTTTATTCTTTATCTAGATGGTAGGTCCTTGGGAGCAGAGGTGCTGGTTTCATTTGCTCCTTTTTGTTTAAGACCATAGTTGCCATGCATTATTGAATCTTTAGGAGATTATCCACAGTGCCAGGCTGGGGCTAAAATGATGGGAGGGAGCCGGAAACCAGAGCCTTCCTTTGACTAGGATTCCCAGTTGAGTGGGAGGGGTGGCCCGGGGAGAGTAGTAAATAGACTCAGTACAGAGTCCTCAGGACTATCCCCAGGGGAGATACTCAGTATCAGAGCCTGTGGGGCCCAAACAAGGCTTTGTGGAGAAGGGCTGACTAAGCCCAGGCCTGAAAGGCTGAGGAAGGGGAGGGGACAGACAGCATTGGCAGACTGCTTTGGGGGCTGGTGTGCTCGGCGGGGGCAGCCAGTGTTGAGCTGAAAAGAATCTGTGGGGATATCTAGTTGAGCCTTCTCATTTCGTGCTCAAGGTTATTGAGACTCAGTGTTCTGCGGGGCTTGCCTAAGGTCACTCTGCTGTGGAAGAGGCAGAGTACCATGTTTGGAGGAGCAGAAGCAGCACGGGCAAGCTTAGTGAGGGGTTTGCTTTCCACAGCTTTAGGAGGTTGGAGGAGAGAGAGAAATCCTAATGGATCATCTCATGTTTTTACTAAGAGAGAGAGACTTGGAGCCAGTTGGGAATTAAATATAAGATCCTCATGAGGCAGGGAGCAGGAAACCAACCGCTGGGCTGTTTATTCCCTAGCTCAGCCCTGGTTTCACTGACCAGGGCAGAGAGGGTGGGCAGGGGGAGGGTGTAGGGACAGTTTCCTTAATGCATTGCATATACTTGCTCCCTTGGTGGAACTATAATGTGTTGTTAAATTATGAAATTTCATTATCTCTGCATCAGAAGGTAATCTTAAAGGTAATTTTTATCAATGAATGCTATATTTAAGGGGTTATATGTAATTAAAAGTTGTTGATTAATTGAACTTCTTTGTTACTATCTGTTCCAAAAAAATCTGTTTTTTATATTTATGCACATACATTCACCTTACAGTCACACACACTGTGGTCCTTGGGAGCAGAGGTGCTGGTTTCATTTGCTCCTTTTAACCATACATGTGTACAGACTTGGGTGAGGTGTAGTTAGAGTCTTTGAAAATGTTTTTCTGGGGCGGTACCTGTGGCTCAGAGAAGTAGGGTGCTAGCCCCATATGCTGGAGGTGGCGGGTTCAATCCCAGCCCTGGCCAAAAACTGCAAAAAAAAAAAAAAAGTTTTCCTTTTTACTAAAAAACATGCTAATTTTTTTTTTTAACTTAAGTTTTTCTATATGTATTATGGTCAAGGTTTTTATCATTTTGCAACTGACTTTCTTAAAGTTTGATTAGAATTGTTTTTCTTTGACATAGCAGTTTACTAAGTTGTTAAAGCTGTTTCGTTTTTTTCTAAGTATCAATAATTTATTGAATTCTTTGTTTGCCTGTAAGTGAATTGCAAATGGAGTAGTTTCCTGGGTGGTGTTTTTTTGCATATGGTTAGCCCCATCTCCGTGGCTTTGCTCCATTATGGAGCCAGATGCTCCATTTGAGGGCAGAGTGACCTTTGTTTCTGGGATCAGAGGGCTCTTCTTGGACTTACTCTCCTAAGTCTCCGGTGGGCAGTAATCTCTCATATTGGCTGCTTGCTCCCCTTGCGGCAGCTTTTCCCCAGAGTTAGCTTTTGATCTTCAGTCTTGTGGAGTAAAAGTTTCTTTGTAGCTTTTGCAGAATATAAGATCATAAGCAAAGATTCATGTGAAAGCAGTTTTTCCCCTAGAGGGTGGTCAGAAACCAAATAAATGTCTACTTTAGGGTTTAAATATATGGTCATAATTAAAGCAAAGTATAGAATAAGACACAACAGTATCAGGGTTTGTTGTTGTTGTTGTACATTTTGGTTTAATAGGTTAATTTTCATTTTAACTGATGATGTTATTATGAAAGTTGCCACCCCCGGAATGGAAGTTACACTACATTTTCCAAATCATTTTCCCTTCAATTCCTACAATTTTGTACAATCATTGGCCATTCCTTTATTTTTTTAAACAATCAGTTGAGAGGGAAGAACATTCCTTAAATACACAGTAATGTTTCCCCCTTTGCTCTTATTAAAGGTTAAAACTGCTTATAAGTGTGCATGTGTCTTACGAGATACCATAAATCCTTACCTACTGCGGAGAATGAAGTCAGATGTCAAGATGAGCCTGTCCTTGCCGGATAAAAATGAACAGGTCTGTAAATCCAGGAGAGAACAAAGCATTTCTAAAACACAAGTGTGCCTGCCGCATCACTGATTTTCCCATGCTTATGAGAGAATTGGACACAGCTCATAGGTGTGGTCCTGGCACTGTGGGCAGGCTGGTCTGGGCTGGGTGCACCTGTATGGGCTGGTAGACTCTTTCTAGTCCACGGGCTTTTATCTGTCTCTTATTAATACATGGGTCCCTACAGCTGTTCTTTCTAAATCTCTCCATTTTCCTTAAGTTCCATTTATTCACACTACAAATTGTATTAAATTGTATTAGGTGCCACTCATATGCCTGGTGTGATTCTAGGCTCTGGGATATAGCAGTTCTCATGGAACTCACATTTATTCTTGAGGGGGAGAGAGAGTCACAAATAAATACAAATGATGTCATGTGGCAGGGAGTGTGGAGAAAAATGAAGCAGAGCTGAAGGATAATCTGGGAATGCCCAGGTCAAGGATTTGAGGAATTGGGCCTTTTATAAGGATGGTCAGAGAAGACCTCTGATAAACTGATATGTGAGCAGAGGTCTGAAGGAGAAGGAGCAAGTCACACAGGTGCTGAGGGTAGAGCATTCTGGGAGGTGGACTGTGGCAGTGCAGGGGATGTCCACAAACAGCAGGTAAGCCAGTGTGGCCGGGGCAGGGAGGGGGGCAGTAGGTGAGGAGGTTGGATTACTTGTTGGAGGCCACATGTTTGAGGTTGTTTTGTTTTTATTAGTTTGATTGTTTTTAAGTAGAGATTGAGACAAAGGTGGGTGGGTGGTTTGGGCAGTGAGGCGTGTCTGACAGCAGGAGGGTTTGTGGAAGGTACTGGACAGGGTGTGTGTGGAGGGGTGGGTGCTGGACCCTTTAGAGCAAGAGCAGGTGGTGGCAGGATGCTGCCAAATGGGGACTGTCCTCCAGCAGTGCTCAGCACTGACCACAGGAGTAGAGAAGGCAGATGGCTGAGCTGATGCACATTTGGAAGTTTACAGGTTCTGTGCGGGCAGTTGAAAGGGTCCGCAGGGGTGGCAGAGGGGTGGCTGAAGAAACATCTAGTGGGAATATGACTGGCCAAGGAAGAAAGTCAAGTCATGATGCGGTGATGGTGGACTTGGAGAAAGAGAGGGGTTAAGAGGCAGAGCGTTAGAGAGCACCAAGGCACAGAGTGGTTTGTGTACTGGGGCTGGAGGGTCAGAGAGCTTAGAGCTCCAGGCAAGGGAGCGTTCTGGGTGATGTTAAGGCTCCTGGTCTGGTCTGCAGAGTAGAGCACGGGTGAGGGTCACAGGAGGTGGGATGGTCCAAGCACATGAAGGCTGGCCTGGAGAATGAACTTGCTGGTAAGCAGGAAGCCAGTCTTCAGCCATAGGTGGAGCAGTGGGGTGAATGGGTGATGGAGATGGGGGGACTGTTGAGCAGGAGGGGTGGTCTGTGCTCTGTGCAGCTACCAGAGGTGGTATTGTGTTTTGTTGTTTTAATAAGAGGTGCATTGTTAAAATCCCATACATTATGCTCTTTTGATTAGGAAATTTTAATTGATATTTTAATTATTTTATTCTGTTAAATTATTTCTGAAATTATAGTTTCTTTGTCTTTTTTCTCTGTAGGTCTTATTTTGCCGTCTTACGGATGAGCAGCATAAAATCTACCAAAATTTCGTTGATTCCAAAGAAGTGTACGGGATTCTCAATGGAGAGATGCAGGTCAGCGAAAGAATAGAAGCTGGAGAGATGAATTGTGTGCCCAGGAAAGTGCGGGAAGAAAGGAAACCAGGGTCTAGAATGTGCCAGGCCTTTCACATCGTGTCATCTTGGTTCATTTATGGTAGATATGGGGTCAACTTACAGTTTGGAGGTGTAAGGTGCAGAGGAGCTGGTTGACTGGTGGCAGGTTGCAGAGCCATGAGCTATAAAGCTGGAACCCAGATGCAGGTGTGACCACCAAGCTGTGTGCTCCTCCTGAGGTTCCTGCCTGGCAGGTGGGTGGGTGTCAGGGTCTTTCACAAAAATTATGACCAAAATCACATATTCTGTGGAGAAGATCATGAGGATTCTTAAGTTTCATTAGCTTCTTAAAGGAGCCCATACTTTGATAAATGTTTATGAACCACTATGATACTCATTGTCCCTAGTGTATGAAAGGCATTTATTTATGGTCATTCTGTTCTTCCAGTACTGACAAAGCTCTCTATCTGCTGTTGGTCAGAATTCAGACACTAGTTAGTATCTTCTCTGTAAAGCCCCACCATATATATAATATGAATGTGGTGGAATTTGGCTTTTGGAACACCTGTGCCACGGCAGAGTGTGCCCAGGCACTGAAGTGAGAGTGAGTTGCTGGGACTACACAGTTGATGGAGGCATGTGGGCTAGCTGAGGCACGTGTGCTGGAAGCTGGGCATCATTTCACACAGGTGGCATGTGCTGCCCCTGGGCCAGGGAGGCCCTGTTACAATCGAGAAAACATTTCGGTGAGAACTCTTACTGAATTTGAAGCCCTTCCAGAAGTGAGAGAACATATGATTAAATTTCAGCATGCTTCCTTTTCATCAGTACGATAGTACTGTACCCTTGAAGCCCATACTGTGGCCTAGTACAGAACAGCACTGAGAAGCAGCATGGGCAGTCATGAGCCCTGCAGGGCCTGGCCATCCCATGCCAATGAAGGGAACAGCTCCAGGCACACTTCCATGGAGGAAGGGCCATTTTAAAGGGATTTTAATTATCTTTTAGCTATTGGCAATACTCTGTACCAAATGTGGGTGTATGGCTGCTCAGTAAGCATATATAGTAATTTAAAATCAGCATTTAGTCTATAGCAGTGGTTCTCAACCTTCCTAATGTTGCAGCCCTTTAATGTATTTCCTGTGAGTCTTGACCCACAGGTTGAGAACCGCCAGTCTACAGCTTCAGATAGATTATTTTAACCTATGAGTTGTAGCTTATTGATTTAACATGTGAGATTCTCCAGCGATCTAGCACACGCCCTCCTTAGTGTCATCCTGGGCAGAGCTGTCTTTGTGGGGTGCTTTCAAAATAGACCCTACCACACCGGGCCCTTTGGTGTCAGGCCTTCCTGCAGTGAACACATGCTTGTGTGCCCTCAATTCTTGTCTATGGTCCTCACTCTGTGCTCCTTGGAGCACAGCTGAGTAGCACTGTGTAGTGGTGTGCCAGTTTGAAGTCTACACTGGGCCAGTCACACACTTGTGGGGGGTAAAGAGACGAATGGGGTGACAGGGATGCCTGTGTTCATGGTATCCAAGTCCTTTTACTTCCAGACTAAGTCATTTCAATTCTTTTCACCACCTCTCACAATTTCTTACGTCATCTTCATGTCTACAGGTGATTTTTCAGTCATTCACGTTTATTCATCTCCCAGAATCTCCCCTTCTTTTTATGTTCCTCCAAGTTAGGTGGTCTAGATCACACCGTCCAGCAGAAAGACAATGTAAGCCTCATTTGGAGTTGTAAATTTTCTAGGAGTCACAGTAAAAAAGGGAAAAAAGCAAGTGAAATTAATTTTGATGATGTATTTTATTTAAACAAATATATCCACAATTTCATTTTAATATGTAATCACAATTCTAAAATGATAAATGAGATACTTTACATTTTTTTTGTACTAAGCCTTTGAAATTGAGTGTGTGTTTTCTATCTGCAGCACATCTATCTCTCAGCGTGAGCACAACACTCTCCTTTTGAGTGTTCAGTGGCCATTTGTGGCCACTACCTACTGGATTGGACAGTGTAGATCTAAAGAAAGGAAAATGAGTTACAGATGGCTCTTGGGGGGGTTTGACAATGTTCCTGATTTGTTTGGATCTATTATTGTTAATTTGTTTAACTGTTATTTATAGGTGTAGCTACCACACCCTTTGATAAATGGCTTAGTTTATGATTTCTCTTTTTCTTATTGAGTTTTTATAGCAGTTTTTGAATTTGGTTTGGGATACATTCTGAAAGCTGTGAAAGAGCCCCATTATTCAAGTTTTGCTAATGCTTTCCCACTTGCATGGGCCTGGGGACGGGGACAACCACTGCTAGTCTCTCGCACCCTCCTACTGCACAAACCATCCTTCAGGTCTTTCCCATGCTTGCATTTCTTGTACAGATTTGTTTTCTGATATAATAATGTAAAGGTAAATGGAACTTTAACTTCTTACTCATATATTGAAATACAGAACTTTTAATGAGATGCTTAGGAGTGTAATATTTAAATGCATTTGATAAGTTATGACTGATGCCCCAAATTTAGGATGATATGACATTTCTATTTATTATACTTAAAAGGTGAGTCAGTTTTTCATACCAAGTTTATAATGCTGTGAATTGCATACATTTTTTTTTTTTGAGACAGAGTCTTACTATGTTGCCCTCTGTAGAGTACTATGGCATCACAGCTCACAGCAACCTCAAAATCTTGGACGTAAGAGATTCTCTTGCCTCAGCCTCCCAAGTAGCTTGAGACTACAGGCGCCCGCCACAATGCCCAGCTATTTTTTTTTTTATTGTAGTTGTCCTTGTGGTTTAGCTGGCCCAGGCCGGATTCGAAGCCACCAGCCTTGGTGTATGAGGCTGGCACTGTAACCACTGTGCTACATTTTTTCTAGTGAGGGAAAATGGATTATCATTAATTAAATATGAACCCTGTAAACCTGTCCAGTCCGAAAAGATTTTTCTGTTTCTAGAGAAACTTGTCTTATCAGAGAAGAGAATGAATGAAAGTTAATTTCCTACAGCTTCTGATAACACTGGGACTAGGAAGAAACTAAGAAGCTAGTGAAGAGTTATTTTTTAATCTGTTACATGTTGAATAGCCTCCTTCCTTTCCTTCGTGAGTAAATATTATTTTACATGGGGTAATCTGAGTATACATATGGTTCTTTCATACCATAGATTTTCCCTGGACTTATAGCCCTAAGAAAAATTTGCAACCACCCTGATCTCTTTTCTGGAGGTACCAAGAATCTCAAGGGTCTTCCAGAAGATGAACTAGAAGAAGATCAGTTTGGATACTGGAAACGTTCTGGAAAGATGATTGTTGTTGAATCTTTGTTGAAAATATGGCACAAGCAGGGTCAACGAGTGTTGCTGTTTTCTCAGTCAAGACAAGTGAGTGTATAACCTCCTTCAAGAGACAAGTCGGTTCTTTAGGATTTACACCCATTACTTCAAAAATAGGATATAGTCTAAGAAAATGATCTGAAGAGAGTCAGCACAGATGCGGAGGCAGCAGCCTATGGGCTTCTTTGGGAGTTTGGCCTTTCCTTAGTGGTGTTCAGAAGTTGGCTTTATAAAAAAAAACTTACCATCTGATTCTCATATGTAGGTAAATTTGGGCTTGAGCTCAGGCTGTTACAGAAGTTGTAAGAATTAAACCATAAGGAAATACCAGAAGTACTCTCCTAATAGTGTATTTATCTTTCTTAAAACAAGAACACCCTTTCAACACAGGCCTGTTGGGGAAGGTGAGACAAACATAGAATTCCCCGGGAGTGTGTGTTTGATTGGAAAACTCTTGTGCCTCACTTCCCAACAGATGCTGGACATACTTGAAGTATTTCTTAGAGCCCAAAAGTATACCTACCTCAAGATGGATGGTACCACTACAATAGCTTCAAGACAACCACTGATTACAAGATACAATGAGGTAACCTGGGAAAAAACAGAAGTTACAGGGTGTTGGTGTAGGAGGAGAGGAAGGAGCAAGCACACCCACACTCTCGGCCACCTGAGCAGTGCCTACTTCTGGCTAGGGAATGAAGGGGGACTTTTTACTTATTGAGCTCAGTGTACTTTTGGATTTTTATTTGTTTATTTATTTTGGAGACAGAGTCTTACTATGTTGCCCTCAGTAGAGTGCTGTGGTATCACAGCTCACAGTAACCTCAAATTCTTGGGCTTAACTGATTCTCTTGCCTCAGCCGGGACTACAGGTGCCCGCCACAATGCCCGGCTTTTTTTTGTTGCAGTTGTCGTTATTGTTTAGCAGGCCCAGGCCAGGCTCAAACCCGCCACCTTCTGTGTATGTGGCCTGCACCCTAGTCACTGAGCTATGGGCGCTGAGCCATACTTTTGGATTATTGAGAGCTACATGTTTAAACAAAGAATTCATTTTCCTTCTTGAAAACCCAATTATTTTTAAATATTGCTAATGTAATTAACATTAAAAGTAAGAACTTTGAGGTAAGATCTCGATTTACTAAAGGTCTCTAGGATAAACCATTCCCGTGTTGGAAACAGCCCAGAGGCTCCTGGGTAGAATCTTGAAGGTGGGGGTGAAGGGCTGTAACTAGTTGTACTGAGTGCTGTGTGTCTTGCCTCTAGGACACTTCCATATTTGTGTTTCTTCTGACCACTCGGGTGGGTGGCCTCGGCGTCAACCTGACTGGGGCAAACAGAGTCATCATCTATGACCCCGATTGGAACCCAAGCACTGACACACAGGTCTGTTTTTTTATTTTTAAAAAAGAATGTGTTAGTAGGAATGTAGTTTAAGGGTTAGCACTTAGGACTATCCTTTGATGTTCTAGTTGGCTTTAGTGTCTGCTTCACATTTTGGTTGTTTCCTATTCTTTACCATGGAAGAAAATGCCCCTCAGAGTCAAGCAGACAGGACAGTCCTCAGCAGTTTGTCTGTAGCATCCATTCCTAGATTTGGGGTAAAAAGAACATATGCAAAGTCACAAACTCTTTTCCCATGTAGAGTGTCTTTGTCACTTGGCTGTTTATCTTCCTTCATAGCCCTTAGGTGTATCTGGCCTCATTAGCCAAAATTGTACCTCTGGGAGTGAAAAGAAGTGACCAGCTATCTTTGTTTCTAGTCAGAAGTACTTGTTACTGGCGAGGGCTCTAGTTGTAATGTCTCTCTGTGCTGCAGGCCCGGGAGCGAGCGTGGCGAATAGGCCAGAAGAAGCAGGTGACTGTATACAGGCTGCTGACTGCTGGCACCATTGAAGAAAAGATCTACCACCGGTTAGTGCACATGGCTGCCACTCTCGACTCTGTGACCAGAGTTTACAGCAGGAATTTTTTTGAAGTGTTATTTTAAGTCTTCCTGTCTTAGAGTAATAGTTACTGTAACTTGAAGGATGTAGTTGTACAATTAGCTCTCAATAATCCAAAAGTAGGGCTAAGCGCCCATAGCTCAGTAGTTGTAGTTTTTTGTTTTGTATTCTTTTTCTTTCCCTTAAAATAAACTTAGATGGGCTCAGCACCTGTGTCTCAAGTGGCTAAGGCGCCAGCCACATACACCTAAAGTAGCAGGTTTGAATCCAGCCTAGGCCCGCCAAACAATGACGGCTGCAACCAAAAAATAGCCAGGTGTTGTGGTAGGCACCTGTGGTCCCAGCTACTTGGGAGGCAGAGGCAGGAGACTCATTGAGCCCAGGAGTTGGAGGTTGCTGTGAGCT